ATATATATATATATGAACTCTAATAGTGGCCCATGTAACAAACGTATGGGTGTTTCACCCACATAATTGGGGTTCAATACTTCTTACCCTTATTCCCCCTTCCCTTCCCCCAATTCTTAAAGTTCAAATATATATATACACACACACATTAGGATTTTTATGGAATGGTTTCAAGCAGGTTGGACCAATTTTGGACCTCAAAACCGCTGTTCGGGACATGTTTGGTTTGAAATTTTTTGACCATGTCGTCAGCAGTCAAAACATGGTGCTCTACTCAATTTTGAGTTAAATCATTTACATCCATGCTGCCTTCTTCTCTTTTATTGAGAACAAAAACTCGATGACAATCATCAAGAGATATGTAGGGCAAAAACTTTCAAACGAGAGAGATAAATTCTTGACGAAGGATAAGAAAACTCCAACCTTATTTATCCACCTTAATCGTCAAAGAAAAAAGAAGTGGCATCTAGAGTAACATAAGTAAGAAAGAGCAAGAGGGTTTAGAGAAAGGGAGAGAGAGTGGCTAATTGGGTTAAGACTTTGTTAGTGTTAAAAAATCTTTTTTTTAAGGGAAAATATAGAATTTAAAACCAAAATTATTGTGTTTGTTTATTTTTTTTGTTAAATTTCTTTTATTGTGTCACAAATTAATTTGGCAACTAAAAATGTAGGGAGGCAGTTAATATGAGATTACGTGGGATATGTCTGGACATGTACACGAGTGGACTGTCTACCCAACACCATCTCTCATGGCTCCACTACTCCAAAAAAAGGGCAAAAATCAACATTTAGCCCCTCACCTTACAAAATTTGTGGGTTTTAACTCTTCACCTTATAAAGTAATAGTTTTAGCTTTTTATTTAACAAAATTGGTAAGTTTTAACCCCTTACTTTACAAAATTGGTAGGTTTTAATATGTTATCTTATATTACGATATTTTTAGTCACTTACAGATACAAATTAAAAAAAATAACTCTCACCTAACATCAGATTATAATATTCTGTTAGTTCTGTTAGTTGATAATTAATATTTATTAGCATTCTATTATAAAAAACATGAAATTTAAATTCAATTTTATTTATTAGTTCTATTAATAGAATGCTAATGAATATTAACAGTTAACTAACAGAACTGATAGTCAACTAATAGAACTAACAATCAGTTAATAAAACTGACAGTTAACTAATAGAACTAATAGAATATTATAACTTAATGTTAAATAAAAGTTATTTTCTTCAATTCGTACAGATAAAAAGCTAAAAGTGTCATAATATAAGATGAGGGGTTAAAACCTACCAATTTCGTAAAATGAGGGGTTAAACCTATCATATTATAAGGTTAGGGGTTAAAATCTACCAATTTTATAAGGTGAGGGGCTAAAAATTGGTTTTAACCTCAAATATCACACTTACCGTAAAACTGGAAACAACTATGCATAAGTCATACTGATGCATACAATAATTGACTTGTTCGCAAAACCATTTTTTTGATACTGATGGATATATATTTTAGTTTAATACACTTCATAATATATTTATTAAAAATTATTATTTTTTATTAAAATTTTAAGGCAAATAAACTTAAACATATAACTATATGTATACAATTATGCAAGAATTAGTTAAATTAATTGTATTATATTATATTTTAATAACTAAACCAAGATGAGTATTAGAAAATATGTTAAATCAAGTGACCACCAATCATGTTCTATTTTTTCTTTCTTAAAAAAAAAAATCCAATAGCTTAACATGTGTATTTTCCTTTTAATATCAAAATTCTAATAATTGGGGAGCTGTAGGTACTGGAGAGGTATATTTCTTATCCCAATTGGAGACCCTTACTATTTTCCCCCCTTTTTTTAATTATTATTATTATTATTTATTGTTATTATTATTTATAATAGAGGGGTATATACCTCGTTATCTTTTGTAAGTCGATCTCAATAATAGAGTAGAGAATCTCTTAAGAAGAATGTGAAAATTGAGTATATGGGTTGTAATATAAGATTTACATCCAATTTAAAATTAATTGACAATAAATAGATTAACTTTATTTATATTTAAATCACATACTTTTTTTTGTTATATTCTCAATATGAGAGATTTTATTACACAACAAAATAAGGTAACATTTTTGAATTCACATTAAGAGACTCTCATTATTAGTTTGGGACTCTCACAAATGCGTTAACATAAAGTAAATTTAAGTGATAACGAAGATATAATTATAAAAAAAAAAAAAAGCATTTTTTTTTTCAAAGACTGGATCAAACAAGCAACAACATATAAAAACGACCCTATCTCCCTCCAGCTTGTACCAAAGGCTTCATGTTTGATTGTATGTGGATGAGAATGAATATGTGGTTTTGTGAATTTGTGAGGCAAGCTGTCCGGTGGGCATCTACATAAACATAATATCCAGGCTAGCTAGAAGCCAAGGGGTTGATGGTAATGTTGATTGACCATTGACTACATACCTTTATTAAGAATGAATAATTGGGGTTGGGATGTTTTTTTGTTCATGTCCCCTACTGCCCTACAAACATAATTAAGAATCCTACAGTATTAATTTGTACATTTTCTTATTAATTGAAATTTCTTAGTACTAGCTACATGGACTGATGGACATGCACACGAGTCCACCGTCTACTCAACACCATCTCTCACTCTCATGCGCATGCCTCATGGTCACCCCTACTGCCCTACAAACATAATTAAGAATCCTACCGTATTGTTAATAATCTAAATATTTTAGTGATTATTTTTTTTTATTGAAAATAAAAAACTTTGGATTTGAGTTACATAATATGTAAGTAAAGTGAGATATAAGGGGCGAGAGATTTTTTTTTATTATTGTGTAACCAAAATATATATATAAAAGAATCCTATAGTATTAATTTGTATATGTTCTTATCAATTGAAATTTTTTAGTACTAGATACATGGACTGATGGACATGCACACGAATCCACAGTCCACTCAACACCATCTCTCACTCTCATGCGCATGTCTCATTGTCAAGGAATTCCATACTTCCATCACCTTTAAAAATTAAAAAGTTCACATTTGCTAAAAAGCCGGAAACAACTAGGTTAAAATATTAATTTGGTCCCTTAATTTTTTTATTTGTATTGAAATTATCTATGAATTTCAAAAGTACTAAAATTGTCCTTAAATTTTAATTTTGATACTAAAATTGTCTTAAGTTTAAGATATCATAACCAACTTAGTTTTTAAACTTTAAATACAAGTACTAATTTAATCATTTAACTTAGATTATAAATACCAATTGAATTTTTTTAATTTTAATCACATATCAATTGATGTCTAAATAGAAATATATAATAGTGGTAAAATATAATTATTTGATTTTTTATATCATTAATATTTAAAAAAAAACTAATTTTATGATAAAATAACGAATTACATGACATTTTTATTAACAGAAGAAATATTTTAATATTAAAAAATAAAATTTAAAGATAATTTCAATACAAATATAAAAACTAAGAGATCAAATTAATATTTTAACCAAATAATTACTAAGCACAAGTCACACGGATGCATGCCATGTTTGACATATGTTTCTCCTTAACAGTTAGTAGTAGAAAACAATTTGATAATATTTTTTAGACCTGGATGAAAAATGTACTTCCAGTTAAGTTATACAAGACCTACTTGCAATAACATCTGGATTTGAGCAATAATTGAGGGAGTAATTTTTTATAAATATATTTTTTAATTTTAATATGAAAATTTTATTTTTAATTAAATTAAAAAAATTAATTTTAAAATATGTATATGTTAATTTAAAAATACTTAACAGTTGTTAAGAAATTTGTACCTGTGGAACGAAATCATATAAAAAAAATGGATTTTATTCCCAAGGTTTAGTTCTGTGGTGCTTGTGCTACGCACCGTACAATTGCTAGTGTTAACTGCAAAATTTTTACATTTATTAAAAAAAATATGTATTAAATATAAAAAAATTATTTTATTTATTACAATTAATTTTAAATTAAACATAAATTTTGTACTAAACTTTACATACTTCATTTTTACATAATATTAAAATTCATGCTTCATTTTTGAGGAGCCTCAGAGCTTATGACAGTTTGAACATGCACAAAAGCAGGGAATATGAAGCTCATTTATAAGCCCAAAATCTACATAACATATTGAATTTACAAATGAAAAGAATCTCTTAAGTTTATACATTAAAATTCATATGTTAAAATTCAAAATTAATATTGAGTCTACACCTGAAATTGTTGTGATAAGTGAAAAGTCTTACTTCAACAAATAACAAAAAATTACGTAAATTAAATATATTAAAAAAATACTTCTACCAATTAATTTCAAATTAAATACAAATGTTATATATATATATTGATAATAAGATAAGATATATAAATGTTATATTGAAACTCAGAAACTCAATTTTCAATTTTCATTACTAGAATTCTGACCAAGCTTACGGATTTGTTAATTAATTAATTAATTTTAGCCAACAGGAGGTTGGTTTAATTATTGTTAGTATATTTCTTTTACTTACTCTCAATTCATAAGCATAAAATAGGTAGCATGAAGTGGGCCCCGTATTACGAAGGAAAAAAACCAGTGAGCCACCCTTTCCTGGGCCCATTTAGCCCACTTAACCTCTTCTTCTTCTTCTTCTCCATATTTTCGTGGTTTTGCCCGCCGTTTCCGCAATTAAGATCTGGCCTTAGTGGCCCACTGGTTCTTTCTCAATTTTTAATGCTTACTACTTACTAAGTCTCTTTAAGTTCAGGATTTTACTCCAACTAATGGTTATGAAAAATTTGTTAATCTATCCTTCTCGCACATAATTACTTATTTTTAAAAGAAAAAAAAAATATTATTTCTTTCATTTATTTTTAATATATTTAATTTCATTTTTTAATTTTTTAAATAAAAATGTAATATATTACATAAATAATAATTAAAA